AGGGGGGTTTATCTCCCCTTCAGCTGAGTTGTTGACAGTCTATAGGCACATAAGCAAGACGTTTCCCTCCCATCCAAAAACAGCCTCGAAAGTGGGTAAAAAAAAAAAAAACGAGAGAATTTGATGACCGCTGACACCGCGAGGCTGGAAATGTCAGTGCTCCTCTCCACGGTGAACTACTCCTCTGCCCTGTAACTTGATGCCACACGGAGGGTTTTACACTGTTAAAAGCCGTGGAAAGTGTGGTGCAGGTAACAAGGGGAGAAGCAGGTGAAGAAGAGTTCGCCCTTTTACCTGTGTCCTCCCGTGCTCCTGTGCACAAACGGCAAGCGAGGATACTTTAATATCTCCGCACAGCAGTGGAAGTTGCTATTGTCACTGAGTCCACTCACTTGACAGGTAGCGCTTGGCATAATAATAAAAAAAAACTCAAACTGAATGGAAGCAAGTCCGCCAACAGCTCCGGAGAAAGCCGACAAAGAGCTGAGGTCCGCTCGGTGACCCCCTCCTCCTCCTCGGGAAACTCCGCACACTTGGCTAAATGGCAACGTTGACCCAGCTGCGCTGCATTTGCTTCCTGATCTACCCCGGTAGCTTCAGCTCGTCACCGCCATGACAGTATAGCCCTTGAGTGAGTGGCGCATGCGCAGTACACAACTGGGGACTGTTAAGCTCAGTGGCAGGTGTGCAGCTCAGGTGGTTTTCTAGCTCCGTGCACAGGGACTGCGTTCAAATCAACAGCGTGTGAACTGAGTTACTGCGAAACGTTAACGGTTTGAGCCCTGCCGCTTAGAAGTCCTCTCTAAACAGGCTCCACACAACAAAACTCGCGATTTCACAGTCTCTCTACACGCACACCACATCATTAACATCAGTAACACAAGGAGGCAAAATAAAATGCACAACAGTAGTCCGCTAACCTCAGCGAGAGAAGCTACATTATCACCGTTTAAGCAATGCCAGCTAAAATTAATGTGGGACTATAATGTAATAATATAATATAATATAATATAATATAATATAATATAATATAATATAATATATGTGGGATATATAAGCTTGGAAATTTTGCGTCTGAGCTGTGTCTGTCGCACAGTATGCATATTTACACATTACAGGTTATTGAAAGTGTCTTTGTTCCGTTTTCGGGAAAAGCAGCTTGCTACCCTAACCTCAGGACAATGCACATGTCACGTGAACCCAATGTAAACTACAATGCTGAAGGGAGGACGTATAATAGTAAGCAGATAATGCTGCACTTTAATATTTCAAAAAGTTACACAGACCATGGGGCTGTTTATGATAATCCAGGTTTGACTGTATGCTGTGTATCAGCATGCATATAAACCTCAGGGGGATATATTTCAAATACTGCACTTGAAATGTGGCTTTATTTTGAACATGTTAAAAACATAAGGAAAAGAATAATCACAACGTATAACTTTACATGTTGAAAAGGGAGCAGAAATAAGTCTAATTCTATTAAATCCCACCCCCTTTCCACAAATAGTAACAACAATCATAATTTTTTTCTTCCTGTTTATGCCCTCTCCTAGAGATAGAGAGAAAAAGCAATTAAAATAAGGTAGGGCTTGTACAGTGTACAAGACACGTGCCTGCTACAAAAGTAGTAACTGTAACACAAGCACCAACAAATCATGTTCTGAGTGTAGGAGTCTTAATTGAGAAATCTTATGTACAAACTGTCAATGTAAATCACACATCATGGATAAAAAGAGGATGTTATAGCTTAAACTAACACAACAAACGAAATGAAAAGGCAAACAGGAAATACATGCAGAACAACGTTTTTGTAGGGCACAACAGCGCACACTGACAGATGTGTGCATCCCGCGGCGCTGAAAACCAAACATTAAAGCAAAGTGACGGCTCTGCTTTGCTTGCCTTTTCAAATCACCGCCACAACCATAACCCCTGACACGTGAGGGTTTTTTTTTTGCACGGCTGAGGAGAAGAGACAAAACTCTAATCAGACACAATCAAAGCAGTCGAAGTCAAATAATGCCCATATTTGATACTATCTGTCTTCCCATCTCTGTTCTTTCTAGTGACTTCACATTGGCTCTGTGGGATGGATGTGCAGCCATGAGTGTTGCCACAGAGGCAGCTGGCGTCACCGTTCCCGCTGACCTCCCAGTAAAGTGTAGCTGAGCCCTCAGGGACCCTGGGAGTCATGGAAGCCAGCAGCACCACCCATGAGATGCAGGCCTTGTCTCTGATTTAATGACCTCAAATCAGCAGTCTTGTTCACTGGGCCCAAAGACTTTCTTAAATACGACCTTCAAAAAGAAGAAGAAAAAAGAACAGAAAAAGAGCAGAGAAAGCTTTTACTGACCTTTAAACTGAACTGTGCCTTCTTATTCTCCTGCAGGCTTTATACAGCTAATGAGTGGACAAGTTTGTGACACAGCGCCACCGTAATCGTCTCTTTCTCCCCTCTTGCTGCCATCCTGTTGGAAGCTCTTATTATCTCAGAAGAAGATTATAACATCTGCAAATAATTTAGTGTCAGAGATTGCAATTAAACTGATGAGCCCTTGTTAAGAGCTCAGAGTGTGTCAGAGCAACTCTTTGAAAAATATCTTTTTAAACCATCTTGAAAGCAAAGATGACTAAAGTAATGACGGCAAATGTAATAAGCTTCTCATCCGGACCACAAATGTAAAGTTGTTGCTCATGCAAACAATACAGCAGAGGCTGTAGATCAGGGGTGTCAAAGTCATCATTGGCCACATACAACCCTACTTTGATCTCAAGCGGAACAGATCAGCGAAACTCTTCTTTCTGTCTATCTGAATTTAACTGCACATTTAATCCCCGAGATATCTCAATATAAGAAAAGGAAGTGCAATTTCAACAGTAGCTCTCACTTTTCTTTACATGATAAAGAAATGCCGCCGAAATGAGTCTCGTAGCTCATTGATAAAACTGCCCTGTAATTATAAAGCAGAAAGTTACTGTCAATTCACAGAAAAATGACCTGTTTTATTTATTTATTTACATTGGACACTTTATAAAAAACTAATAAAACAACCTTGTAATTTCTATAGTAGTGAAAAAAACGTGAACAGGTGAATTGTATCAGTAGATGGGAAAATGTATGGCGTATGTTGGAGTTTTTGCTGGACTGATTTTTACCCCTGGGCCTTATGTTTGACACACCTGCTGTAGGTGGCAGGCAAAAAATGTCAACATAAATCAGATTTTGAATGAGAAGACACAATAAACAGCTGCCACGTCCTTCAAATAATTTTTGAAAACACTTTCTGTGGCACTAGGAGCTGGATTTGTCAAAGTACTAATAACCTTGCTGGCATATTAGGAAGAATTAAGGAGCAAGACTTTACATAAAACAACACCTTTTTACCTGTTTACCTGTTTTACATTTGTCAATATTGGTATATGAAAGATGAAGTCCACTAACGTGTTTACTTTGTGTCCTCCATCAGCAAACGATATCTTCCACAGAATAATATGACCTTCATACAGGTGGAAGATTACAGGACTATTGTATTAGGCTTTGTGGGTAAGTGGATAAATAACCTCCGAAGTGTATTTTCCCAACAGACAAAATTCTTCCCTTTGTTACAGTAATAATGTTGGTGGAAAACAGGCAGCACGCCTATTTTACCTGTTTGCACACCTTGAGACTAGTTCATCCTGTTCAGAGATGTGGAAGAACTTGTCTCCCAGTTAAAAAAAATTGGTGTGGATCACTTTTTGCTGGAACAAATGACACAAATTACTAAATACGAAAATGTTGTACTATTGTCTTACAGCATTTGACAAATTTTACTTTGAAAACTGTTGTTCCCTATGGCTGTAGTTAGTTATAAGTTATTGTTGAGCTTTTTTTTTTTCCAGCTTCCATTTATTTAAAAAGATTACTTAAAAAATGTAGGTTTTGTCTTTGTTACTTTGTCCTGTTTGGCCCTTCCACTGTTTTTGCGCTGTGGTCTTCTATAATCTGCCAGTAATCAAGTACTTTTAGCAGGCCAGGCTATTTTATGTTGTTGTATTTGCATATCAGCCTTTAATACTAAAATGATTGTGGTTTCTATATGATGTTTATTTTATTGTTTTTTATTCTTATTTGCTTGCTTATCGTTGTAGTGGTGGACCGTCAAACTGATTTGCCATTTCTGGGATTTAAAAAAAAGTTTCCTGAATGTGGAATCTGAAATCTTTTCAAGCTTGATTAGACTACCTGTGGTTTAAACTAATAGAATTAAATGGGATGACCAGATCCCAACAAACTAAATGTAGGGCAAACACTGTGTTTGCGTGGGGCAAAGTGGGACAGGTTGACAATGCTGAATTTTATTTCACTGTTATTTCAGCCGCTGTTCTGCCTGGTAACAGTTTTTGGCTTTCAGTTGTATATGTCAATAGACTGATATACCTTTTTTGAGGCATGTCTGACATTTTGGGCAATTTTTTAACCAATCATGACAAATAAAACTGCTACTTCACACTCCTGTGTGAAGCTAAAAAATAAATAAGCTCAGTTTGTCAGTATATACAATGACTTCATTGTCTTTGTAGTTGTTTCTGTCATATTCAGCAGAATCTGCAAAGCTTGTGACTTGTTGATTTGGTTACTGTTCCCTGATGAGTACGGCATTAGAGATGCTGACCTGACTATAATTTAAAAAAAAAAAAAGCCTTGCCTTCACATGCTTTAACTTTAACTCTTTATTATACACATTTGGTAAAAACGGTCTCTTTGAAAAAGCATGTCCTGCAGAACCCGTCAAAGTGTGGGACACTGTCTGAAGATGTGGGAGAAGGGCACAGGGGATAAAAATGCTGCGCATTGCCACATAAAGCGGAACGTCTGCTCACCTTATTGTTGCTGATTTCAAAACTCTATTTTTTAATGTAGTTTGTTAGTTTTTTTACGAGCGTGTTAGACTGTGCTTTCACCGGCAGAGGGAGACAAATGAAACTGCAAAAACACTCGCGAGATGAGACAAATCTCACGAACCCCGAGCCGTCTCTTTAATTCTCGCGGGATTTCCGAGTTCCTCCTCTTTCACTCCCTGTAGCCAACATGGCAGTCGGCAAGAATAAGAGGCTGACCAAAGGCGGCAAAAAGGGTGCCAAAAAGAAGATGTAAGTTGGACATTCAGACATTGTTGTGTGAACAACACTTCGCTTTTTTCGTTGGTGTCGTTTTGGTGTGAAATGGGTGAAGGATGAAGCCGATTTTAGGTGGATGTTAAGCGGCCAGTGCTAGTGTCGGCACCGCCGGCGCAGTGGCGCTGAGCTGTAGCATGATGTCTCCTTTCATGCTCTTAGACTTTATGTAGTTAAAGTTGATTTTATTATGTGCGAGCAGCTCATTTGGAGTATCACCAGCACAGTAAGGGAAAGCTCAAGTAATTTGGTTGCTAGCTAGCGCCTGCAATCTTACATGCTAAAGGCTACTGAATGTTAGCTTAACTGTAGGCGAGCTTGTCTGGCAACATGGCAGTCGGATCCTACGGCTAAGAGTTAATGTATCTAACTTATAATACCATGTGGTGCTGACGATCAGTACGACCGAGCTAGTTCGTTAAATCGTGAAATCGATTAGAGTAGTGGTTATTCCACGGTGTTTGCTAATCCGAGCAGTGTTCTTTCTCGTACTGGTATTCAAGCATGGCTGAGATGATTGTGAATTAATACTTTCTACTCTCCTGCAGTGTGGACCCTTTCTCCAAGAAGGACTGGTATGATGTCAAGGCACCAGCCATGTTCAACATCCGCAATCTTGGCAAGACCTTGGTCACCAGGACTCAGGGAACCAGTAAGTCTGCATTGTGCGAAGGCTGTTGTGTGTGTTGTATGCTAATGTTGCTTTCTGTAAAGAACAGAAGTGTCATTCTTTGATTCAGTGAAACTCTGGCAGTAGTAGTAAAGATCAGCTTTAGAGTTGTGTATGTGATGCATTGTTTTCTAATGCTGTCCATAATTATCTGAGAGTATCCTTGGCGTACAGTGGGAATGTGTGATGACAAACTGTTTCGGTCCCAATCGAGGGGCCTGATTACTTACGAGATCAACTGCCTTTCCCATTATCAGCACTTACTTCAGCTTCCAGAGACTTCTCGTTACCTTTCAACCCTTTAACCTTTTTTCGTACCTCTTGTACCACACAGGAATCGCCTCAGATGGTCTGAAGGGACGTGTGTTTGAAGTGAGCCTCGCTGATCTCCAGAATGATGAGGTGGCCTTCCGCAAGTTCAAGCTCATCACTGAGGATGTTCAGGGCAAGAACTGCCTCACCAACTTCCACGGCATGGACCTGACCCGTGACAAGATGTGCTCCATGGTCAAGAAGTGGCAGGTGATGGTCACATTTTTCACCAGTGGTGCCAGATAGCTGATGATGTCACTTATGCCAATGTGTTTGTTGAGATTTGGCTACAGGGCTACACTATGTATGGTCTTGGTGTGAACATTCAGGTTTGTATACGGTATATTTACGCTGCAGTGTAAATATTGGGACTCAACACATTAGAAGGAAAAGAAAGACTTGTGAGAAATGTCTTCCATGACCAGTATAAAGGGGGAAGTAATCCAATGTAATGTGGTATGTTTTAAAGCTTTTTAGATATACTTCTTTAATATACTGTCTTTTAAAAAATAATAATTACAAAACAGGAGCTTTGAGAAGTCAATATAATCACCAATGCTGCTTGGCGATGGAGAATTCTGAGTACTGGCATCCTCACAGGGCTTTTTGTCAGTGCCCCTCATGCTCTGCTGGGAGAGTGCACAGTTGATGTTTGTGCGAAGCTCTTTCACACATGCGATATGGGTTGCTGAGGATACTGGGAGCTTATTTTTGCAATAAGCCTCCGCCTTTCCACAGCATTGTGTGTGCTGTTCGTGCTGTTCGTGCTGTTCTTGTTTCAGAAGTGAGTGAAGCCTGTGCTGATGGATCCCTTCATTGTTTGTTAATGACATGAAGTTAATTCTGGTCAGTGGCTTAAATGTTGGGCCTATGAGATGTGTCGGCAGTTAAAAGTATCTGAAGTGGTCAACCACTACAGTAGTAAGCTGGTGAGTGCAAGCAATGGGCCATCGCTAGTTAAGTCCATTCACAAAACCCCATTTGCGTAAACATAAATTCAGGTTCACGGGGGGTTTCATCCAGTCCCAGAGGCAGAGTGCACTCTAGAACTCAGTCTATCAAAGGACTAACATGTTGTTTGACTTTTGCTTGCACGAAATTAAAATGATAAATCATGTTAAGACGTAAGTGCGTACAGTCATCTGATCTGTAAATTGTATTTATTTTTTGGCCCGAGACAGCGGTTATGAAAGTGTTGGGTCTTCTCAGCAGGCGCTGGTAAAATATTTTGGATTTGAGTGTGTTGGTCATATATTCATAATTTTGTAGTGTTGTTTACAGCAATGGTAGCAGCAAAGTCTGAGTGCACCAATGCTCTTTGAAACGCAAGCAACAAAGTGTCATTTCATGTTGGCTCTTCCCATTCAAAAATCAAAGGCCACTTTATTAGATACACCTGGGATATCTAGTGTGTTCAGCTATTCGTTATACTTTGAAGCTTGTCAATGTTGTATATTGGACTATTACATCTGAGATTTCCCAACATTTTATCCGCTCAGATGGCATACATGTGGACAGCGAGCAGTAGAATCATAGACTGTTGTAGAACAAAACTGGAAATGTAGAAGCTTTCTAAATGTAGAATATGTGGCAGAGTTGTTGCATTAGACTTCACAGCTATACCTAGTGCCTTGGCAGACAAGTGTACACCTCAAACCATTTACTAGTGACTCCAGATTAACAAAACTTTCAAGTTGGGTTTTAATGCATTTTGGTTCGGAAAAGGAAACGTGAGAAGCACATTGAAGGAACACGAGCAGAAAAAGTTTGTTACAGACCGATGCGTTTTAAGGCGGCACTGTTAATGTAATCATTATTTTTCTGCTCAGACCATGATTGAGGCCCATGTGGATGTGAAGACCACCGATGGCTACCTTCTGCGTCTTTTCTGTGTGGGTTTCACAAAGAAGCGTGCTAATCAGATCAGAAAGACCTCCTACGCTCAGCACCAACAGGTCCGCCAAATCCGCAAGAAGATGATGGAGATCATGACACGTGAGGTTCAGACCAATGACCTGAAGGAAGTGGTCAACAAGTTGTAAGTCATGTTTCTGACTAAAGCACAGATGGCATTACTAATTTAAGATTGAGCTAATTATGTCTCTGAGTGCACTCAGGTTTTGTGTGTGTCGCAATTGATGGTTTTAAATGAATGCGTTTGCTTTTTCGTATTCCAGGATCCCTGACAGTGTTGGCAAGGACATCGAGAAGGCATGCCAGTCCATTTACCCTCTGCACGATGTGTACGTTCGCAAGGTCAAGATGCTTAAGAAGCCCAAGTTCGAGTGTAAGTAATGCATGTTAGTATTTACAGTGTTTCTTTTGTTTGTGGGAACAAAAGATGACAATGTTTCGGTCCCATATGATCACCTGATTACCTAATTGAGATCAGCTGATGTTCCCTTGCAACATGCTAGTTGACAAGCAGACATTCTTGGTTTAATTGAATGAAATGTTACAACTATAATGTCTTTGCCATTACATATGCAATGGCAAACTGTCATTTGCAAGTTGTCAGTAATGGTTTGATCAGTCAGTTAAATTCCCTGTCCTCCCTTGCAGTGGGCAAGCTGATGGAGCTCCATGGTGAGGGTGGTGCTGCTGGTGCTGCAAAGGCTTCCGGTGATGACACTGGAGCCAAGGTGGAGAGGGCTGATGGCTATGAGCCCCCCATTCAGGAGACAGTGTAAAAACACCCTGATTTGAATAAAAAATGTAAATGACCAACAAACTGTCCTGTTTCTTTGTCAGTAAAGTAATGCAGTCGTTCAGTCAGTGCATGTAAGGAGGGGATAAAATGCTACAAAATCCAGCACTCTCAAAGAAACTAGTCACCAGATAAAAGGTGGATGCTGCAGAATTAGCAGTGCATTAGGTCTTGTTTGTATAAAAGGTAACTGACCTGAATTCAATTTATTCAGTGTAGAAGATGCCTGTGTTTCCAGTATCTGTGGTAAAACTCTTGCAGTATGCATAGGTCCTGCTAAATCACATTACTGAAGCTTACTAAAATTATAGCAGTAATATTCCCCCCCCAAAATGGTGTGATTTAATTTCATCTCAGTAAAGAACACGTTGAAAGTGAAATTCATTTGTAATGGGAAGAAAATAAAACCACTAGATGGTGCTAGTGTACATCTGGTCAAATCGAAAATGCTTACCAAAAAACCAACATCGTCCACCATTTGTAATATTTTTATTGATTATTCAGTAAACATTTTTCAAGTGGACTTAAAGTTGGATTACTTGTAGGTAAAATACTGCATTCAACTTAAAGTCAGTTCAGGCTTCTGCTGCTGTGAACAAGTCACTGGAGCTTCAGGTCATCCAGCTGTGCTTTGCACCGAGCAAAAGTCCGTGTGGCTTTAATCCAGTACTTGCACGTAGTTTTTAGGAACCAAGGCCCGTTTGCCCCTCAGGTCCCCTAAAAACCATTCATCATCTATGGACTCGAGATTGGTTACAATATCCCCAACCTGTAAAAGAAGAGGAAATGTGGTTTTACATGTAATGAGGAATTTATTGTTTACTCATGTAAGATGGAATCACATCAGTACCCGCAGGGAGAGCTCCTCATCACAGGTTGATGCGAAGCTGTACAGAGCCCTGGCTCTCCCGCCTCCAGCAGCTCCATTCTCCTGGTTATTAAACGGCTGCTGGCCTGTAAAGGGCAAGATTTGAAGGAACACTTGCAAATCAGATCTCATTGAGCATGATCCTATACTCTTGTTTCTTGAACTTTTAGAACAGTGTATTTAGTGGATGCATGTGATAAACAGTGAAGCTTTGGGGGCAAACATTGCTTCTCACTGTATCATGCTACAGAGCAGCATGACATAAAAAGCGAGGTCTTTGTCCATCTTCTCACACCTGATTTTCTCTACCAAAAACGCACAGTATAAAAACACGGGCGTTTCAAAACGAAACTCTTCAGCTCAAATGTTAATGACATCATCACACCTGTGGTGCTTTCCGCATAATTCCTGGGGAAGAGGCCCTCCCTGCCGTTGAGCCTGCCACAGCTCCACTCAGCATCCATGTGCTTGGTGATGAGGATACAGTCGCCCTGTTGAAAGGACAGCTCTTCCTCTGTCCTCCCTGCATAATCATACAGAGCCACCACCCACTCCACGTCAGAGTGAGACGCCTACAAAAAAAAGAGCAAAATACACAAATGTTCAGTGCACCTGCAGAAAACTTAACTATAACAAAACTATTATATATTTTGCTCAAAACACAGGGTCAAATTGCATGACCAACATTGTCTGGATTTATTATCGTGCTTGTGTTGGTTACCTGAGCAGGTTTGCCAGCCTCAGGGTGCATGCTGGGAGAAGCGGCAGCCATCCCTGTGTAAGTGTGAACAAAATTAAATCAAGGAACAAACAGAAAATTCTGTGGCCACATTTTGTGACAGTCCTCAATAATGTATTGGTGTGCTATTAATAATTCAATATTGCTGCCATTGAGGAGACTGGTGTCAGCCTTTTTGTGTCATTTCTTTTACTGAGCAGGAGTTTGCATTATTCATGTGAATGCTTTAACTTTTTAAAGGCCAATTTCAACTTTTTTCCCTCAATTTATAGTATTTAAAGCACAGGTGTCGAACTCCAGGCCTTGAGGGCCAGTGTCCTGCAGGTTTTAGATGCGTCCTTGATCCAACACAGCTGATTTAAATGGCTAAATTACCTCCTCAACATGTCTTGAAGTTCTCCAGAGGCCTGGTAATGAACTAATCATTTGATTCAGGTGTGCTGACCCAGGCTGAGATCTAAAACCTGCAGGGACACCGGGCCCTCAAGGCCTGGAGTTCGACACCCCTGATTTAAAAAGTATTTGTAGGACAACAATGCACTACTCGTAACCTCTGATCTGTAATTCTAAACTCCTGTCTATGGCTGGGCTTTTGTAAACAATTACTTAATTAAAGTCAAACACAAGTGCAAATTCTTGACATGCCACAGCCAGCATGAAGTAAAGACGCTCATAAAAGCTCTTCAGTGAAAGATACAAAACGTCGGCATGTTGTAGTGTGGATGTTCACACAGATAAATGTATGTATGTATGTACAGTTTAAAAGTCAGCACATAGTGAGCGTCTGAGTGTCTTCAGAAAATCTTACCGGGCAGTGCGACCTTCTTACTGGGTTTCTGACTCGGGGGTGGAGGCAGATCTTCAATGACGTCTACAAAGTTAAGGGGGAAGATGCCAGTGTGGCCGCCGATCTGTCCCCGTGCCCAGTCCTGTCCCATATACTCCTTCAGCTGGATCACATCACCCTCAGAGAACGACAGCTCATCACTGTGCTCCCCTTCAAAGTCGAACCTCGCCATACACCTGGGACCACTTTAAGGGTATATTAAACATCCAGTTAGCCCATCATGCTGGTTTGTAAAGGCTGATCCAAACATTTTATGCTGCAAAGACAGTACCTGACTTTTGCGGGTGTTGGTGGCGGCTTTGGTTTCCTTTCTGGGAGGGGTTTTGGTGAATCCAACTAATCAAAAAGAAAACAAAGTTAAAAGCATTTGCCTTGCTTTTTGATTGTCACTAAATAGGTGAAGGATGCACTGAAACCTACCAGGACTTTGACATGATTGATGGGAAAGAAACCAGTAGATCCCCTACAGGTGCCCCTGTACCACTCGCTGTCCACCTTCTCCACCATGGTCACAATATCTCCCGCTCTCAGACTCAGCTCTCCGGGGCCCTCTGAGGACCAAACACTTCACAATCAATCATTCAGTGCAAACAATCAAATACAACAAATACATCTACACTTACAGGCCACTTCATTAGGTACACCCGTTCAACTGTTTGTTAATGCTGATGGCTGATCAGCTGATCACATGGTGGTAACCCAGTGAATTTAAGTATATAGACATGGTCATGCTTAAGTTTAAAGCATGGCACATTGGCACACTTTGGGCCCCTTAGTGCCATCAAAGATATTTGATGGTTTCTTGAATGTGAATTAGTTAACTGTACTCAAATGACCTCCACCTGTGATATGTGGTATAGCAGGAGTTCTGCATCGTGGATGTGCAAATCTGCAGCTGTCTCTCAGGAATGTTTCCGGCACCGTGTTGAATCTATGCCATGAATAATTAATACAGGCCAAACTGGTACTAGCAAGGTATACCCAATAAAGTGGCCATCAGTGTCTATGATTCTTTTCAGACAATATGCATTTTATCAGCAGGAGAGGTTGCTGTTTAGAGTGTTCGCTGTAGCACGGACACAAAGAGGCCAGCAGAAATAAGAAACTATTTGTTATTTAGGGAGCATTAGAGGTAGATCTAGGCGTGGTTGTCAATTTTGGACTGACCTCCTTTCTATTGCATTTCTTTTCTGGAAAACAAGCTAGTCTTGGTCAAAGTTAACGCTAATTCTTACTAGTTAGCCCCCCATTATCTTGTGCCATATAAACCATCACCTCCTGACTTCACCAGAAAGAGTTGTCTCCAAAGATTAAAAGAAAAAAAAAATGCATATGCATATGGATTTCTAAATTTAGTGGGAGGCCCTTGGGTTAGCCCCCTGTCTACAGAGATTACACTATACTAACCTCCCTCCCCTCTTGACTGGAAACCTATAATTGTATTTGTCCTCTAATTAAAATGCCACAACAAATCCAGACAAAGAACAGCCTGAAATGTCAAAAATATTCTATTAAACAGTTATTCAAGGAACCGATGCTTCACCTGGATCGAAGTCATGTACGACCTGCACCTTTAGCCCAGTTTGGTCAGAATCCTGCACAAAAAGGAACAAAGACTTTAAAGTATAACACATCAGGACAGACTGGTAACAACAGCATCAACGGATCAGGTGGCAAAAAACATTCACTGACTCATAATAAAAGGCTGAGTCACCTGTGGTGAAGATTCATCCGAGGAAAGGGGAGTTATAATCTTCATGCAGGACTTGTGGACTTTTCCTCTAGTTTGTCCAACTTGGCACTCCAATTCATTGTGATTAATTTCTCTGAGCAGCAGCAGCACTTCGTTTTTCTATTGAAAGGCCAACAGTACACAAAGGACTTAATGATGTGCTTAACAATGATGAGCTGCAGGCCATGTATGTGCTGGTAAAACTAGTTTGGTCACCTGGAATGACAGCTCTCTTGAACTACTCCCTTTGTAGTCAAAGCTTGCAATCCCATGGGGAAGCTGCAACTAGTAGGAGAAAGAAAAAAAATATTATCAAGCCCTCACTAAGCCGTTGTAGAAACAAGCCTGGAGTTTTTATGCGTGCAGTTTCTCACAGTGTATTTGTTGTAGAGGCGGTGGCCTGGGTTAGGCCTTGGGGGTAAGACGAGTTCTTTCCTGTGGGGCTTCTCTGGCTGGAGTTTAGGTGAAGCGTCCCATGACAGCGACTGAGAGCGACCTGTGGCTTTGAAGCTTTGGGGAGGCCTTCCCGGGGCTATTTTGGCAGCAGGTGGGCGAGGTGGGAGGCTTTTGTTCACACTTGGCTTCCTGAAGTGCAAAATTGTGCACAACTTGAGCGGGACATACTCAAAGTGTCCTACAGTTTGATATTTGATTGTTTTCCCCCCTGCACTTACCGAGGTGGCAGAGATGGCATTGGCATAGCACTGAAAGGCTCCTGGAAAAAGAATCAGGGCAAAAGATGTGAAGCACAACTAGCTGAAGCTCAACAGCAGGCAGCGGGTTTAGGAGGCAAGAGTTTCATCAGAAGATGCACTTTAATGAGGTTTAAGGCTTTCCT